TGAGGAGGGTCATGTCACCTGAGGGAAAATGGCAAACAAAAGAAAACCGTTTGGCTTCGTCTCAGGAGGCAAACACGTAGCGCAAGTTAGAGCTTTCTGGGTAGAATTCACCCCAAACGCTTTTAAACTTTAAAATTATAGTGTCAGATAAACAAGTCACCTTGTCAGGTTTACCTGAATTTCTTCAATAAACTCTGATACCCACCTATAAGTTGGGATACTATTTCCAAAATTATTTGCTACCTAAGGAGAGTGCATTAATAAATAGATACAATATATGACTCATATCCTGACATAGTAATATTAAGCATTTTTCAGAGTGTATGTCAGCACACAGCAACTACATATTGAACAAAAAGTCAAGTCAGATGAGTCTCTTTCAGTGTTTTAAGGAACACTCTCTATTTTTGGGCTACCATAAAACCCTTGAAATAACATAGAAGGTACTAAAGGCTTTTGTGAAGTAGAGGAATTTTAATTTGAAAGTAATTTCATCCTGTACCAAAAGTGGTATTTACTTCATAATATAAAAATCTAATAACATACTTGTGTATTTTAAAGGAAGAAGACTCATCTGTGAACATGAAATATTTTTCTGCTTAAACTACATGAACATAGTAAGCACTTTATTTATTCTTTAAAAGTTTTTTTTTTTTTTCAAATGGCTTAAAGTTTTATTGCAATACTTCTACAGCAATAGCAAAAACTAAATTTTGCACAACTCTGGCACAAACACCTGTTAATCTGATAACACATAAACCCTCCCCACTAACAAGGACTCCAGTCAGAATGAATAACAGAGATGTTTGGGGAATTGAGGGGGGACGACATTTGTTTGATTGACATGCGCCTTTCCTGGGAGCATGCAATGCATGTCCATAATCCTTAACAGTCTGACAGCACTAATATGACCTAATTCTTAGGGAAAAAAAGCTATATCTTCTGTTGCAACAGTTGTTTACCTATATTTTTATAATGAACAGTAATATTGAAGTTGTGTGACTCTCTTTCCTAATAACGCATTAAGTGTCTGTTCACATAGATAGCTAAATGTCATGCATGATCTTTCCCACTATTGCTGTGGAAATCTTACAGGAAAGAGAATTTTTTGCTGCTTGTTGTATAAACCCTTCTGCGCTTCATTATATGTATTATTATATGTATTCTAGATGTATTGTATTACTGGAAAAGCTGTTAGGTTGTTCTGTTGTTAGTATTCTACTGAGAACAAACATAACTTATCAACTGCCTGACTGCTTCTTGAAAAATAGGTATCAGTTTACCCCATTGAATTACTACACCTGTTTGAATTTTGGCCACTCCATCAGAGCAGCAAGCTAGCCTGAGGAACTTTCAACACGCAGTTTTATTAGCCTACTTGACAAAACTTTCATAGCCTCAGGAGCTTGGAAAAAGTGGGAATAAAAAGAAATACCAAAATAGTGAAAAAGACTGAAAAATTGCATTTTGTATTATGGCAATTGTAAACACCTCCTTTCCCCCCTCATCATTAAACTTCCCTTTCAGGCTTTTTGTCTTTTTTTACTTTAAGCTCTGCACATAGTACCTGCTCAGTCCATTTAAACTCCATGAAAGGAACATAAACCTGGAACAAAAGCTATTGCTGAAACTTGATAATAGTAACTGCTGATAAACACTGAACATTGATTTATGCATCATATCAATAAACACAGAACATCTGAAATAGTAAAACGTTATATAGCTTGCTGACTGCAACACCACCAATGCAACAAGGAGGAAAAAACCAAATTATGAAACACCAAAAAAACCCACAAAAAACCACCAAAAACCAGGCTCACCTTCTGTGCCATTGGGTGTCATGGAATTATTATTTATATGGGAGTTATCAAGTTTTGGACCACTGGGGGATTCACTACTACCACTTAGTCGTCTATGTGGGCTGGCTAGATCCTGCATTTCCATAGACCTGAAAACAAGATGCAACTAGTCTTAGTGACAGATTCAACATGAATTACACAGGAGTTGCCTTTACAAGATGCAGCCCACTATTAATCAACATCCCAAAAACATTTAAAAAATTAACAGCTTCTCCCAACTTGACTTATTCCAGTGCTTAATTCATGTTTTAGCCCCAAACACAACTGACCAGCTACTGTAATTATTTTTACAGCTTGTAACAGAATAAAATTTAGATTCCAAGTACTGTACTTTAAACATTCATGTAACCTTCTATTAAGACACCTACAAAGATGGAATCACCAATATACAAAGACATATATTATCTTAACAACAAATTAACACTCCGCTTTTTCAGGATTTACCACTCAGTGGCAATATAATGGCCCTCCAAACCAAATAAAACACTTGAAGCAATTGTGGAAACCTATCATCTACTGACAGGGAATGAGATATTCCTGATGTATGTGTTTACTCTGGCAAACTACTTAATTGTTCCTCTGTTTCCGTTGAAACAAATGCAGCATTAAAACATTATTATGTCTGCTCACTTGTTTGCTTTGTGGATTACACAGAGTGTGCCCAATTGCAAAGGGATGTGAGCAACATACAGTGAATCCATACAGGCGTTTGTGTGCCTTAGCACTCTGCTGTACCTCAGCAGCTGTCGCTTAGGCAAAATAAAAAGAGAACAATTCCAATTCAAAGCAAAAATTAAAAGTTTAACCTGCACAAAAGCCGCTGGATATTTCAGACTGGTGGTTTCAATACCTTTATATATAAAGGCCAACAGCCATCACAACCATGACATATCCTTTGGTTGATGTTGGGGCTTATGACGGAAGTGCCCCATCCTTCCACCTTATACCTAAAACTTATCAATAATGTTATTTGATGTACTCATTCTAAGTAATTGTTCCCAGTAGAAACTTCATAGTTGACTCTGCCTTGCCTCCAAGGCATTTGAACTAGTAATTTTTCAGCTTAAAAGAAACGTTTAGGCTCTTTTAAAGACTATTAAAATTATATAAAAAATTCCTGCTGCAGTAATGGTATGAATATCCTTAAGCCTAAGTGTCATTCCAGTTATGAAGTTTTCACATTTTAACTGACATTTTATCACAAGTTCTAAACAAATATCCTTCATTTTATGTTTGTTTACCTCATCTGATCTATACATAAAGAAGAACGATATCGCAATGAGTTCAAAAAGACAGTATCTTATATAAAGTCAAACAATTTACTGAAAAAGTGTATGTGCTCATGGCTTACAGACTTGTTTGCATGCACATAAAAGTACCACTTCAGCACCTATTCATCCACGTAACGTGGAAAATAAGAATAAATGTTTTACTTATCACTTGAAGTTAAAAAAAAACCCAACACTAAAAAGACTTGCAGAAAAGTAGCAATTTTCAGTCAAATCCTTACCTGCAGCTTGAGGAAACAGCAACATCTGAACTAGTTTGGGACTTCTGCACCTGTAAACCAGGGAAACAAACAGAAGCTTCTATTATTCCGCTTTACTATGAGGCCTTAATTTAAAGAAAGGATATCACACAGATGACAATTCTGTTCTTTAAATCCAAAGGGAGAGAAGTGGGTGCGGTGCCCGTGAAAGGCATATTGTCTTTTAAATTGAAGGCTCAACTGTTGTTTCCCCGGCAGGTCTCTCTCCCTCCTCCCTGCGCTGGGGGACGGCAGCCAAGTGACGGGATAGTGATTCATCAGGGGCCCGTGACAGCTGCAGAGGGGCTCACTCCTCCCACGGCACGGCACGGCACGGCACGGCACGGCACGGCACGGCACGGCACGGCACGGCACGGCACTGCTCCGCCAAGCACCCCCGCAAAGGTAACCCTGCCGCGCCGGCCGAGGGCAGCGAGAGCTGCTCCAGCCCCAAGCCCCTCAGCATCCTCCACCAACCCTCTTGCCTCTTCTCATCCCTCCCTTCCCCTTAACTCTTCACAGATTCTTGCCCTCATTGTGTTGGCTTTCCTCTGCTCTTCGCCATCCTTTCTCCGTGCCTGGGCCACGGGGAACCCGCAAGCCACGTTCCCCCCAAAGGCAAGGTGGAGAGGCTGACACTAATGTTTCTGGGGGAAGGGTGGGAATGACAACAATGGGCAGGTCTACCTGTGGTAAAGATCTTTAATATAAGGCCAACAGTATTATACAACCACCTCTAAAACAACCCCATCTCCAGCCAGGGTGAATTAAAATCAAAGCCCCACACATTATTGCACAAAGTCCTACTCATAAAAATTCCAGTCGCTAATGAGATTTCTGATAAAATGACTTAAAAACCAATTCTGGCTAAATAAATAGGAGGAAGCTGTAGCATTTACCTCTGAGGTCACTCATCAGGAAAAGGAATCTGGTTCCACTGGGAAGCCCAACAATAATTTTTCAGTTTAATAAAATTACTGCTTTTATAACTCAGGTGAGTAATAGTTTTCATATCCTATTAGAAGAACACTGTTGCTTTGCTAACACACTCTAGCCACTAATGATTGTCAGCAGGTGATAAAATTCAGGTGAAGATACACTGACACTGCTAGACACTGTTAGCATAAAAGCACACAAAAGCTTCTCTGGGCAAGGTATATATCCTCTTAACGTCTGCAGTGAGGATCCTTCATGTGCGTTTCCATTCAACCTGAACTGACATCTCTTAAATGATCACAGAGCAAAGACAAGGGAGATGAGGCATTTTAAGTGCCATAAAAATCATCCAAGCAAATCCTACTTATGTGTCTGTGGGGTGGGGTTTTTGTTATTTTTAATCACAGACAGAATTACTACTAGCAAGAGTAAACAACTTCTAGGGGCAGCCAGGCAGTGAGGAACATTATAAAAGATTGTCGTGGTTCCTCATTGCCTAGCTGCAATCAAAAAGCATGCAATAATACATGCTGAAAAACATCAATCTTTTTATAACTGGGTAGTTAAAGTACTGCATAACACGCTTCTCAATACATCGTTGCATGCCAAATCAAACCAGACTAGCAGATACAGTCAAAACTGTGCATTTTGTTTCAAAGATTTTTTTTTTTCCTCAGTTCTTTACCCCAGAAACTGCTGCGGAGTGCCTTAGGATATGTTTCTGCTGTTACTTCTAAACACCTGGAAAAAATTATAGGTGAGAACTAAGTTTGCTTACAGAGCTATCTTCACTCCCTCTTGCACAGGATCCTTTAAAACATATCTTTTATAATACAAAAAACTTCCATTTTCAAATGGATGCTTTAATTAACTGATATTTTCCAATGTGCCCTACAGAATAATTCATATTTGATTAAATTCTAATATACATGTAATCCTATTTTAATTACCAATTTTTAAAATAATAATAACTTCTGTGCATTTGCAAATATACATATATACATGTGCATGTGTGTACACAGTGAGAGAGATTTCATTTATAGATGCATGGGAGAAAGCAAAAATAATAACCAGCTCACTTGAAGTGAATTAAATATATAACTTAAATGTCCTCCAACACTTTATGATTTGTGAAAGTTCATATCCACAATTTTCATTTTCATTAGACATACTTTATATATATTCCTTTGTGTCTCAAGGATTATTTAAACCATGTGTTGCACGTTACCAAATTTAAAAATGACTCTTTAATCAAAATAACTTTAAAACAACTAATCCTCACTTAGGCTGGTCAGCTGAATCCACAGAGTGGTCCAGGAAAAATAAATCTACTCTCAAGAATGCGAATGCAGACAACAATTAGACACAGATGTGAGTGAAATTAGTTACAGTTTACAAAATGCTACACTTCACATGCTTTCAGTTTTTTATGTGTAGTACAAAATTACAACGTAGTAAGGAACCACACTCATGACGACCAGTTAGTTCATAGAATAAAAACATTTCTGGGTGGTGTGTTCTTGCTCTCATACATTCTCCCATTCTGCCAACAGATTTCTGGATAATTGAAGTTCTGCAACATAACTCACATATCAAACAGAAAGTGGAGAAATCCCCCAAATGCAATGGCCTTACCCACCCAGAAATAGGGCACAATTAAATTTAAAAAAAAAAAAGAAAAAAAAGGGAGCTCTGACATTCCCTTCATACACAGTGCTCTGCTAAAACTAAAAATGCTATAGATGATAAAAGAGACATACACATTCTCCTTAATACCTCAAAAACATTATTGTGTATGATTTGATTGTTGTAAGTAACATTCACATCTTTTTTCTCAATACAAATTGCAGACCCAGGCACTATGTAGTACAAAGTGAGAAAAAAAGGACAATGATAGCAAAGCTACTTCAAATTCATCCAGTTAAGAATCTTAAATCAGTAACATCAAATTCTGATTAGTTAATGAGGTCTTTTAAGTTTGCCTTTTTTCTAATTAAATTTATAATTCTTCACAGATGTAGGTTTTGTTGATGTTCAATTTGTCTCTCTCATTTTGTTAAACCTCACATAGTACTCCACCAATCCATTGAATAGCCACATTAAATCTGTTAATACCATGCTCTTCAACCCCAGAAATTATTTCCAGAAGGCAAACTTGCTTTGAGAGATCATCAAACAAGACTTAAGGTACACATTTTATCACATTTTCCCTACCACAGAGCTCAGGATGCGGAGGAAAATTCATGACTTTTGCACTGTTTATTATACTTTGCTAAATTACAAATCAAAAGCATCTGACAGAAGATCATGTATGAAGCCAAAAAGTTAATAATGTTCTGTGAAAAGTAAACTGTAAATGGGAAGGGATTCTAAATTTCAGCAGCACAGAGAAAATAAAATGTAGGTACTTGTCTAAATTACAGGTTTTCCACAGTATTTTTGCTTGCTAGGAGCAATTTTTTCTAATGGCTATAATTTAAAACATTTTTCCAGCTGAAAAGAAATTTTCAAAGTGAAAATAAGAATTTAACCCAGAAAACTATAGCCAGCACATGCGCTTTATCTTAAAACACAGTTCTACTTTAAAGAAGCAGATTTCAAAGACAATGGCAGTTTTCAAATCAGACTGTTCCTTCTTAGGAGGAAAAAAAAAAATCTGTCATTTTTAGGAAGGGGTGGAGGGAGGGAGAGAAGTGGACTTTTCCCCAACAGCACTCTTTGCCTCCTTAAAAGCGCTATGCAGCCAGTATCTACAGACATAATGGCTTCAACAGCCAAAATGTTACAAAACTAAAATGCAAATTGGCTGCAGAAAGGCACCTTGCTGGCAACCCAGGAAACTTGGTAATACTTTCACTCTTCCTATAATCGTACTCCTGGGCTCTAAGGGAGGAGGTAGTGATTTTTCACTAGATGTTCACGTCAAAGACAAATTGCACTTATTAAAGCAAAAGCAGGTAATTGTAGTTATTTCATTTTTAATTACTAGTTTAAATTCTAAAAGTGCTATCCTGCATACTTGCTTCATACAATTATGAATGAAACATTTTGAAGCCCCAACACTTTCTTCCCTTTAAGAAAGAAGCACTACAATGTGACAATGCTCCTATTATGACCAGCCATTTAAGAATGTCTTTCTGCTTTTCCAAGATTTTTTTTGGCTCCTGAGAAATATTTCATACTTATTGCAATTCAAACAAAATGATTACTCATTCTTTTTTTCTCCTCTCTCCAAAGGCGAAGCGTGACTCAAGCCGTCTGTCACTGAGAAGAACTGCTGAGAGGAGATGGCTGCTCATTTCCAGACCCTTCTAGGCCTTGGGAAAACTCTGACAGCAGTGAGGTGCTTGGCTAAAAACTGCATGTCATGTGTTTGTCAGCAGTATACAAAACGCTGTGTGCATACATGTTTATATACCTAAAATCTAATGTATACACACACACACATACACACATATATGTATATATAGAGATCCATATTATTAATTTATTTTACACACCAAAACAGCAGTCTGTGTTTTGGCAGATGCTTTGCAAACTGTCTCAGTATGGGATGGAAAATAAAAGAACCTTTATACATGATATCTAACGTTAGAAACTTCCAATGATACACTACACCACATTTCCACTTATTCCAAATTTTCCTGTGCTCATTTTTAAATTTAAACAAACTACATGAAATATGCTATCCTTTTCTTTTTTTCCCTGAAACCTTTTATCTCTTCTGCTTGCTTCAGTTTTAAATGTTTGCTTACAACAGAAAGGAAAAAACCCACCAAATGTTTTTAAACGCACCAGGAGCTTTAATTTTTCGAGAATAAATCTTACGCTGCAAAGGGTAGTTCTTCCTCTTGGTCTTTGAAACACCGAGAGAAATACATACTTGGGAATGTTTGGTGGGTCTCGGTTGCTCAAAAGCAAGATGTAAATTTAATGAGACTTCAAAAGGTCTCTAACTTCCTCGTTCTAAGATCACCGTTCTAAATAAGCCACCTAAAATGTCAATAAACGTCAAATATTTCAGCTGTGTAGATGTTTATTCTGTCATCTTGAAGACTTCTCCTGTGGGGATCTATGTGTTTTCCTTGGTGTTTGGAAAATTTAAACATATTAAGCAAAAGGATTTCCTGCTTCAGAAAGCACTGTCAAAATCTCTGTCAGGCATTCTTTCTCCCAATTTTTTTATTATTTTTCTCACGCTCTCATATCTCTTTCAGCAAGGTCTGCCAGTTTCCTACAGTACGTGTCTCTTCCCCCACCCCGTTTAACATCTCACCACCACGTTGTCCCTATCTACCGAACCACTAGCGCTCGAGGAAATCAAACGGGAGAATCCCCAAACCTGGCCGATCACAATAAACAGAACCGCCTAACATCTGTTTTGTGGGAAGCCTACAAACCCCATCCTGAATCGCGGCCAAAATTAGCTGCAGCACCTAGTGATTTATAATTGAGCGCTGCTCTCCTCCGGGACGGCAGAAAGCGCCCCTGCCCCTCCGCGCACCGCGGCCCCGCCGCGCCGGGACCCGGGGCCGCTCGGCAGCCGGGCTGCTGCAGTCGCCCTCTTTCCCCGGTCTTGTCCTCCCGCTCTCGCCTCTCCCGCCACTGCCGCTGTCAGCGCCCGCGCCGCCCGCCTGGTACTCACGGAGCCGGGCGCAGCCTCCGCGGGCCCGCAGCGCGGCCGCGCCTCCCGCGGCGCGGCGGGGCGGGCGCGCCCCGGGCGCGGGTCGGAGCCGGGGCCGGGGCCGGGGCCGGAACGGGTCGGCGGCGGGCAGACAAAGCACAGCGGAGGGAGGCTGCCTCCAGCCCCACCGTCTGTTTGCTCAGCCTTGTGGGTCTGCCCAGGCACTGCCTGGGGGCACGCTGCCGCTCCCGCTCTCCTCCTCACTCCCCTTCTCCTTCCTTTTTTTTTTTTTTTTTTTTCCTTTTTTCCTCCCTCCCTCCCTCCTTTTGGGTTTTGTTTTTGTTTTTGTAAAGCAAACCGCAGCTATTCTCTTGTCCCCCAGCCTTATTGGTTTAAAAGCAACAACCGCGATGAGGCTTGCGCGGTCAAGTCAGCCTTCCTGCCAGGGCTGTCGCTTCGCCGCGGCCGCGGGAGCTGCGCGCCCCTGGCCCCCCGCCGCCACAGCCTCACCTTCTTCAGCCTCACCCCAGAACAACTCCCGAATCCCCCGGGTCCCTCCTCATTTGGAAAGTTTAATTGTGTGTAGATGCGTCCCCCCGCTAGTAAGCCGGGTTTAAACTAAAGCCGTCCTAATAGAATAACTGGAATTACACCAACGTTATATCAATGAGAGAAGCTAAATAGGGATACTCACAGAAGCTCTTAAGCATACAACCATCACACACGTCCGGACATGCCGTTTTGATTGGATATGTAACAGATTTGTTCTCAAATATCTGAGATTCTTGCAACCTTGTAAAGAAGGGGTCTGCTAAAACTATTTAAGCCAGCCTTCTCCAATTTAAAGGTATTTATTAAATAAAGTATCCGGAACTTTTAAAATGGTTTAAACCGTTTAAACCATTAAATATCTGTACCCCTAAAAACAATTGTAAATATATGCAAATTTGTATTTCGGTTATAACTGCTCACTTTCTAAAGTTTTAAAATTTAGCAAAATTTTAAGAAATTGCATAAAGGCCCTTTCTATAGACCTTACAAATATTCCCAGAGAGAGATGGTTGCATAGGGTTAATTCTGTGCATTAAGTAACAGTAACTCTTTAAAGCGTAGCTTTTACCAATCGATAAGTAATTAAGTAATTTAATTAGCAAGCCATTAAACTGAAATGGGCTTATGATACATTTCTATTACAGAATTTTGGTTGCTCATAATTCAAAAAAGCTCTTTTAAAAATATATACACAATGTTAAAAACATTAAAACACACAATAACTAAATTTGACCAGTGTTCTCCACAGCATTTCCACTTTGTAGATGGTATCTTTCACTTCATGTAACACTTATATTTCTACACTCTTTCAGTACAGGTAATCCAAACATGATGAGGAAAACAGCGTAACGATTTGCAGTACCAAAAAAAAAAAGAAGTCTTAATACCATGCCAGGTCTACAGCACTAAATAAATTAAAAAACAAAGTAAAACAAAACAAAAACCCCAAACAAACAAACCAACTTCATATTGTATAAATAGATTGAAACATAACTTTTTTTTTTCTTTACAAAAATCTGTGGTTATTCACTGCTAATATATCCTTACCTTCAATTAACTAATCTGTGAATGAAAGCAATACTTCTAGAGAAGAAATGTCTTCTGGCTACTACATCCCAGTAAGCGAGACATTATTTTGTAGCAAGTACATTGGGAATACTTCAGGAAAGCAGATCAGTTTGCAAAGCTACAAGTCAACCTCGAGCTGAAAAGGCACCTAGGATTTCATTTTGTTTAGCGGAGAAAAGGGATCTCGGGACAGTCACACACCATATATGGGAACGCAGGTCAAAATAAGCAGCTTTCGATTGGGTCTGTCTGCGTAGCCAGCACAAACACAATCCCATCACTTCTTTAGAGTCACACACCAGATCTCATGCCAAGAAAACTATTTATCATGTTCTATATTAAACTGTGAAAGACATACAAATTACATATTATGGAGACATGCAGTTTTGTCAGGTAAAAGTCACTGAAATCCTGAAATACAAGGCTATGCAATCATCCTGAACTATATGATGTTTTGGAACAGCCACGATCCTCTGGATTTTTTACTAGTGTTAATAAGATCATTTTTTAAAAAACCTATCCAATCCTGTATGGAGTTAAAGGCATACTCTTGCTTCACTGACTCTTGGAGTTACATATATTACATGAAAAAGATCAGGTACACACTTTAAGGAAGCAGAAGTTCATTTTTTCCCGGAAGAAAATCTCAAAGAATATTATGTTGTTGTGGGGTACCATCTGACACTGGAAAAGGTAACTCAAAACCCTTTTGCAAAAATAGTGGTTCTTAAATGATGCTATGGAAATCAAAAAGTTATTTAAAAACAGACTGTGACTTCCAGGGACGCATGTAATTTTTTGCATAAATCTATTTCATTCCATTAAAAAAAAAAAACCACCCACAAAAAAACCAAACCAACACATAGCACAAATATATGAATAAATTTTACTGTTTTAAATGTAAAGCTTACTGAAACAGATTTACTGTTGGTTAGAGTTTGTAATCCCTACTGGGAGTTTTATCTAAGTAATAACTTCAGGAGTGTGCCCAGTCTCTGTATTTAATTAAAGTAAGACGGATCCCCACACACACGTACAGAGCTTGATGATGTGATGATAAACATGGGATAAATTACACACAGGCTAAGATGATCAGAAAAAGGGTGTTGATGATGCATTGCAAGAAAAGAATCAGCTTTGAATTTTTAATCTCTTCTGTAGTATGGCATGTAGGCAGTATGGGAACTGAAGCCATATAAATTATCTAGATGGGGGATATGAGATAAAGTAGGGTCCTCTTTGTTTATACAGCCATTAAACAGTGCCTTAAAGTTCTTTATCTGATGTCTGAAGATTGGACTTCAGATTAGTTTATATCATTACCCCATGATATGGTCTAACCTATGAACTTATTCTACAGCTGATACTGTGGACCAGATCCTTATATGGTTTAAGTGAGTGCAGGGCTTTTTTATTTCAACAGGTAATCTAATTATGACAGCTGAGCACTAAACCGATTTGAAACCTACTTGAAAGAGGTTTATTTGCTTAGCTTTTTGATTATGTTCTTCCAGCTAACTGCATACCAAGTCAGTGCAGGCTACATTGTTGATCATTGGCACCCAACATCAATTTCAAACCACAATTGCACTAATACTGGGTTTGGACAGAGATTTCAGTGGGATTTGTATATGTTTACATCATGCCTGAATTTGCCCCGATTCTGCACTCCTGTTAATGCAGCTGGCATCTCAGGAGTCCTAAGAAGTAAAGGACCAGGACTATTACATAATATCAAATGCTACAACAAGCTGTGGGGTATATTTTTACAACTATTACTCATGCAATATGGTTTTAACTCCATATGCAGTGTCACACACTTGTTTTAGCGCTGGTAAAACAGATCCATCTGGAACAAGTATTTATGGTGTGCTTAGGTACTACAATTACAGATGTGCTGGTAATTAAGAAAAATTAGATGTAAAATGTATTATGGAACAGTGGGATGTTCGCATGTTCGTCTCCAAGTAGAAAATATTGCTGAAATATTTAACATAAGAAATAGGCCCAGGAAGACCACACTTCACTAAAGCAAAAGATGCATCCCATTGCTCCTGAGAGCTGCTGCCTGGCTTTTTCCATAACAACTGCAGTGCAACATCAGAACCCTCTGAAGCAGGCAATATCCCTCCTATGCCTCCATACAAGTTTTATCTTACACATAGCAGCTGTTGCCTAGAGACGTCCCTGGCTGGAGCAGAAGTTTGCAGCATTTGACAGGAGCCCTTATTGTCTCCTGCTACTCATGTGAGCAAAAGTAGAGAGACCTCAGTAAATACAAACAATAAAAGTGATAGAAATCAACCATTTTAAGTGTTCTGTCCAAAAATTATCAGCGTGATTGAGAAGACCAATTTCATTATATTCTTTCAAGATACATTGAATAAAGTCAATCTTGAATTAAAACCTATGTGTAATGTGTTACAAGAAAAAGGGTGTGTTGCTAACCATCATCCTTAGTCAAAATGTACATGAACTGCTGGCCCCAACGGGCTCGTTTGCATGCAATTTTACTCATTTTTAATCCACAACTTCAATATGAATTACAGAATAATTTTGTATAATAGGAAAATAAATGGGAAATAGTAGTCT